TGCAAGTGCGGTTGCCGACCACTTGTGGGTTATTAGTGATTTAAGGAAGGATTAGGGGATTTGAGGATTGAGAATCCCAAACAATTTGACTATATTCCAGCCTCAAAAAATGTCCTGTACGAATTATACAGCTATAATAGAAAGCTCTCAAATCACTTGCAATTCTCGCTTGTATATTACAAATTCAGTTTACATTGACCTAGTACTGTTTTCAACAGTTGTTGTTGTTGTTGTTATCGAGGACATCCGAAATTCGTAGTTGCAAACAATGCCGAGTGCAGTCAGTAACCGAGTCTAATTTATCGCGTGTCCTGACAGATTTACTGCCACATTGTGAAGCGAAAGGCAATTTTTTAAAAACACGACTACTGGCTTTGCTAGTTACCAGTGTCCGTTACCCAGGCCAGATGTTGTCGACAGTGGTCATTTGAATCTTATAGATAATTAGTTGTGCGGCTTCTGTAATTGTTGCGCACATTTTTAAATTTGTTGCGCTTATAGTTTTTTAATTATTTCACAAAAACATTTCCTGCTGGCGTAACGTTACCACAGCCAGAACTTTTTCTTTCTAATGGGAATATTTAAATAAATATTAGCTATAAAATTAGTTGTCTAGATAAAGTAAATGTTGTGCCTTATTTTGTATTTGTTCTTTCTTCGGTTGCGAAGTTATTCGAGATTTTGCTGCGGTAACGTTTTTGGTTTTGCTATATCTTTGAAATGGTTAAGCGGATTCTTATCATATTTTGTACACGACTTTCGAGGACTTAGTTTAAATTTGTTGTGCAATAACAAAACCAAAATAATGCATATTTTAAAGGTTATTTCATTAAATAGAAAAACACTTCAATTGGCCCCAGCACTCTCAATAAGAAGTCTAAAGACTTACTTTAAACGTTATTTTAAAGCTTGTAACTGCCTTCAAATGTATGTGAAGTTTCATTAGTATCCCGTAAGTATTTAACAAGTTATGATGATATTCAGTTCTTCACGAGCACGGTCTTAATGCACGCGGTGTTATTTGGCCACTGGATTGAATATATGAACTGAATGTTATGTCAATAATTAGTTGTTTAGATCAGTTGTATATCAGCAAAATTTCAGCTCAATATATTGGATAATTAATGAGATAATACTATTAAAGTCATTAGGAATTGAATGACGGTGGTAAGCCGACCAAGTTTAGGTGGTTACGAAAAAGCGAAAACGCAGAACATTATGGTACCTTCTAAAATATGTAGGATAGTGTTATAAATTTAGTACAGACATGAACAAAAGTTTAAAAAAAAACTACATGATTATTCAAGATTTTTTATTGAAAGGTAAAATCATTTCAATTGAAATTTTACTCCCTTATAAAAACTTGTGTTGCTTGACGACGACCCACTAGGTACTTCTTTAGACTACCGTAAAAACAAACACAATTAAGTCAATAGATGTTTGAACGCCGGAGTTCGCTTGGGGGGGGGATAGCATAAAATATTAGTTGTATTGACCTAAACGATTGTTCCATTATAATATAATAATATATAATTAAAAGTAAATTCTCTATATTCCGAAAAACAACTAAAAGTAACCATTTTATTCGAGTTACCTAAAAGTAACCGATGCAGTTCAAAAATCATCTAAAAGGTTACAAAAGTAACCTTCTGGCAAGACTGAGTGCGTTATGCAAACAATGAAGGTATTACCCCTTCACCCCACTCCTCCCGCGTCCTACCGAACGGAATAGGTACTCTAGCGGTGATTTTTGATAATTTTGTGGAACTGGAAGATAATGTTTTCTTTTATATTATTATTATATAGGTATTTAACAGTGTACGCGTCTGTACCAAAATTGTAAGGTGTATTATACTAAACATTTCAAAAGATAGTACAATGTTCTACGTTTTCGCTTTTTCGTAACCACCTAAACTTGGTCGGCTTACCACGGTCATTCACTTCCTAATGACTTTAATAGTGTTATCTCATTAATTATTCAATGTATTGAGCTGAAATTTTGCTGATATACAACTGATCTAAACAACTAATTATTGACATAACATTCAGTTCATATATCAAATCCAGTGGCCAAATAACACCGCGTGCATTAAGACCGTGCTCGTGAAGAACTGAATATCATCATAACTTGTTAAATACTTACGGGATACTAATGAAACTTCACATACATTTGAAGGCAGTTACAAGCTTTAAAATTACGTTTAAAGTAAGTCTTTAGACTTCTTATTGAGAGTGCTGGGGCCAATTGAAGTGTTTTTCTATTTAATGAAATAACCTTTAAAATATGCATTATTTTGGTTTTGTTATTGCACAACAAATTTAAACTAAGTCCTCGAAAGTCGTGTACAAAATATGATAAGAATCCGCTTAACCATTTCAAAGATATAGCAAAACCAAAAACGTTACCGCAGCAAAATCTCGAATAACTTCGCAACCGAAGAAAGAACAAATACAAAATAAGGCACAACATTTACTTTATCTAGACAACTAATTTTATAGCTAATATTTATTTAAATATTCCCATTAGAAAGAAAAAGTTCTGGCTGTGGTAACGTTACGCCAGCAGGAAATGTTTTTGTGAAATAATTAAAAAACTATAAGCGCAACAAATTTAAAAATGTGCGCAACAATTACAGAAGCCGCACAACTAATTATCTATAAGATTCAAATGACCATTGTCGACAACATCTGGCCTGGGTAACGGACACTAGTTACCACTCTCGAAGGATACAAATGGTTCATTCGGAGCGAATTTTATATGCTAAATACTTCAATGTCTGCTCTAAATTGGCATTCAATTTATCCTCATGATGAACCGGTGAGCATTATGTTGATGGGTAAATAAACTAAATGCGATTCTACAGTATTTATTTTCATGTTTTTTTTGTAGATATTCCCAAATGAGTTTTAAATTAATTAGAATTGTTCTCGTGTATTATACAAGATAATACATGTCATAGGCATATTTGTAAGATTATTATTTTTATAGATATTTACATTTGAAAATTTATTGCAGTGATGGAAATGACGATAGTAGGACGGAAATGATATTTTGATTTCTGGAAATGACATGACATACCTAGTAATGTTTTAGACTAACAAAAAGTAGATATTTATCAAGTATCTATTTTATTTAAATGTTATCGAAGGATTAATAAGTCAGATCTCGGAGCTCATAAATAAAACTTTCATGTAATCAAGATATATCTTATATTTATTCTTTGGAAAAATCAGTCATATCAATAATCATGTGTTATCAGAAATATTTAAAATATTAGATAGGTACGTATTATTAATATTTAATTATTCTTTACTTATTAAAAAAATGGTATTATAATTACTTATTGTAACCATTTCTTACATAATAGTTTAAGCTTTAATAATATAACCGTATTCTACAATCACAATGGTTTAAGTCTTTAAAACGAATTATTAAGCAAGCGTAAAAAATCAACAATAATTTGTTCAAAAAAATCAACAAAACTTTTGTTTCAAAATTCGTATTAGCCTGAAGAAATCTTTACGTTTTATTTATTTATTAAAATCACAACTAATAACCTTTTTATTTGACAAAATAACAATGTTTTTGGGTGTATTAGTAGTAATATTAATATTGTGAGATGTATTTGATATATTAGTAAGAATAGGGCGACAGTTTTTTGTCCTTACAAGAGGTGCTACACTTGCGAGGCCAGAACTAGATGCAGGACTTTCTTCTTCAGTTTGACAATAGTTGGGGACTTTGAAAAGACCTATATGTTTATCGTGGACACAAATATATTCACAATCGAAACAGCTGGCATTTCTGAATACGAGATTCAAAAAACGTTGTTGCCACAGCACTTGATGAACATTTAATGTGCCTTTGAATGGTTTCAAGTCTTTTGGTAGCAGGGCTTCTTTGGCTAAAACTTCATCTTCATCAACCGTCATTATAGTAATATTTTCTATATTCTGCTTCATTATGTCAATAAACTCTCTGAATGTGCTAACGTCTTGACCAAAATTCACAAGTTTGTCTGCTGTTCTTTTTAGAACTGCTCCGATCCCATCTGGAGCGCCTTTTCCGTGCCCAGCTTCACTGTAATTCCACGTTATTGCCTTTAGTTGTGGAAAATTCTTACAAAGTACTGTAATCATGTAGAAAATATATTTGTTCCGGTACTGGGAACTTGGAGAATCTGATTGGAAGTGGATGGTATCTATGAAAGGATTTATTTCTATGGCAAGTTTAATCATTGGCAATAAGTGCGCCCAGATTGCTGAAGCATCATGTCTCAAGCACTGGCTAACTGTGCATGCGCAAGTTGTGCCAATGGCACTACGTTGAAAGTCATAGGTATAAATAACACCAGTATGCAAACAGATCTCTTTGCGACTTGGTCCAAAATGAAGGCTCTGCACTTCTTTTCCGTATTTTAAACCAAAATTTTCAGAAAAATCGATATGAATAAATGCTTCGGAGACAATCAAATTTCCCTTTTTTTGTTTCGTGGTGTTGTGTTGAACATTTATATTGTACGAGTGTTTATAAAACGTAGGTAATAGATTATCTAAAGTATTTAAAGCTTCTAGAGGGGTTACTTCAGTTGCCTTTTTCATAGTAACATATTGTGTTTTCATGCCCTTCTTAGTTTTAACAGTTTCCTTGCAGCGAACCCATTGGTAGAGTGTAAGACTTTGATCATTGGAAAATTCTTTATAGGATAAAACTTTATCCTTACATGAAGCGCATTCTCTTTTTAAACAATTGTCGTTATATCGAGAGCAACACAGCGACTCCAACAGCTGTTCGAAATTGGTCTCTCTTATTATATCCGCTTTCTGTAGACATTGAACGGCTAAATCTATATTGCTATGAATTGCGCAGGCACAAGTTTCCCTGAGCGCCTTGGTAGGGAAGATAACCCAAAATGGACGATGTCTGCAGAAGAAGGCATAACTAACCCGAATGCCATGCTCTAAAATAAATTTATTGTGCAATTGTTTGAGTGGTAATATCAGTTGCCGTTTTTGTTTTTGAACTTTGTTTCTAGTGATATACTGCTTTTTTCCTGGAATAAATATGCTGTTTGAATCTTGTTCAAAGAATTTTTTAATAAGCGATATTAATTTAGGACCTGTTAGATTTTTGTTTTTGGGTTGAGCTGGTTTTGATTTGATTTTATCACCTTTCTGTATCTTTCTCGAAGTCATCTGTAATTTATCCACAGTCACCTGTCTTAATTTCTTTTTCAAATTCTCATTTTCCTTTCTTAAATCTTGAACTATTTTAATCAAACTCTTTCGTTTTTTTTGTTCTATGTATCTAATGTGTCGTATTTTCTGCGAAATTAAAGTAGTTAGACAATCAACAGGATCTTTTTCCACAGCTGCACTCGTTTGGGTTGTTGTCTCACTTGATGTGTCTTCTTGGTTCTGAGATTTAATCAGTACCACTTCTGGTAACATACTTTCATTTCCCTTAGCTCTCTTTTTTTCCCTGTACTTCTTTGATGCTTCGCGCCATTTCTTCCTTTGTTGTCGTTGATCTCTGGGTGATTTTTCTTCAATTGGAATAACTTGTCTTTTTCGTCTATCGAAGTCGTTCTTTTTCTTTAAATCTTTCATACATTTCTGGATCATCTTTAAGTTCTGCGTATTTTCTACGCTTATAGGCTGACAGATTAGCGGTACCAGTTCTCTTGCTCATGATGATCAGACCTAGAACAAATATTTATTCATGCAGCAAAATTTACCATAGATGCCACAAATAAGTAATTCCTCCAGCTACAAGGCATACAATTATACATAAATAGGCTGGTAAACAAATTACCACTCCTTTGCGAGGCGCACTCGGGTAAAAATAGCTAAAAGTACACGAAAGTAAGCATATAAGTCATTACCAGTCACCGCAAATCATTTCCATCTTTAATAATTTACTGGAGATGATCTTACTGGAAATGATATTTTTCCGAAACAAGTCGAGACTTGTTCTGGAATAATTTACCAAAGTAATAATAATAACTGCCAAAGGTACACGTAAATAGTCGAGGTATTTGTGAAAGATAAAGGATAAACTATATTTATTACTTACCCAATTATCGGTCCTTTTAGAAATGACGCACATGCGTGACAATCGTCGTGGGTAATCTTTAAAAAATATTTTTTTGAACAAAATTGCACTGCGATCACGCGTCCACTCACACGGCGGGTCGCTGGCGAACTGAGGGTTGTGCGGGCGCGGGACGGACGGCTGTGCTCAATGCAGAGGCCAAAATATTTACCATTTGACGAACTTTTACGGAAATGACGAAAATATTGTAACAATTTTTAAATAATTTATTTTACACATAATATAATAGTTCCATTTGAAAAGGTTAAACGGTTTTAAATTTATATGTTATAGTTATTATAAATGTAATTTCAAAAACACATTATTCTCTTCCAGTTACGAAAAATTTTAATATTTATCCTGAGAGGTACGATTCATCGTGGGGTTGGAAATGACATTTGATGCTTGTTTTGTAAATTTTTGACTAATACGTAATATTCACAGTAAAAAATATATCGGCGCCTTTAAATATAATGTATTAAGAACCATTTGTACTTGATTTGAATGGCTGGGAATCATAGATATCGATGCAGTTTATTAAAACGTATTTTTTTACGAGTTTAGTTTATTTACCCTGATTCATGTGGTGGCATGGTCTTCCATGGGTGTGAACGATAATTATGTGATTTATGATGAAAAGATAACCGTTTCTTTTGCCCTTCAGGGGTCTTTTAGAAGACTTTCTTAGGGATGAGTGAGACTGACCTCGGTTTCCGAAAGGCCGATCAATATTAAAATCAATTTAATCTCTTGTCAGGTCATCTGATTGGTTGACTGAATTATCAATAACCAGATCAGATGACTTGACAAGAGATTTAACAGGAGATTAGTTAATTTTAGCGTTGACAAGCCTTTCAGAAACTGGGTGTAAGTACCTAATATACAGTTGTAACATAATAACTTATGTGTGGGCCTATCCATAAAAAAATCTAACAATTATAATATGCATATTTTAGCTTTAGAATAGTTAGAATTTAGAAGTTGTGTTTTTTAAGTTCCTCGAGGTATTTATATGTCAATTAATAACTTTAAATAAAGTTTTTACAGGATTAGTTTAGGGGTTTAGTTCAGTTTATTAATTAAAAAGAATCTCTAAGCCAGGGTACATTACATAGCATATTATGCATGTATACGTTTCTTTGATAACCTTTTTTCTGCAAAGTTGCATTAATTGGTTTAATCTACTGAATACATAGCAGAAAATACTAGGTACTTCATTCTTCATTATTAAGTAGGTACTACGAAAAATAAGCAATCAAAATCCATATAAAACAGCGCACTTGAGTGAAGTTTAAAGTTTAAAATACGCACAAAAATACTAAAATGAAAAAGATATTCCTATTGTGACGGAAAAGTGGTTCAAACTCTTTGACATCATGACGTCAATGGATGGTTGTCAAACGTTGCCTAGAGATTGTAAATTTCGTCGTGATTTGTCAATACGAGTTGGTGTAATTGGTAAGGCGTGTGGATTACACCACAGAGACCCCGAGTTCGAGTCCCGCCGTAAACATGAAGTTTTTTAGTTGATGGAAGTTTTGTCGAACTTTCTGGAATTATTTGTGTGAAAGAAATGAAAAATTAAAGAGCGAGAAGGAGAATAAATAAAAATGAATTACGAAATTATTGGAAGGTTCTGGAGGCATGACGATCAAAAAGAATAACGAAATTGAATGTTCCAGAACTTGACCGGGGGTATATAAGCGGAACTGCGGCTCACCGCTGGCAGTTGAGTTCTAAGTCTAAAGCGATTCGGAAGAAAAGGAAGAAGTGAAAAAGAAGAAAAGTGAGTGAAATAGTGAAGTGCAGTAAAATAGTGAAGTGCAGTCAGTTAAGTGAGTTAAGTCAGGGTGAACGGCAAAGTTGTGTCAGTCGGCCGGACTCTGCTGGAGAGGAACGCCGATAACTTAACTCCGTGGACGCTGTAACTTAAGTGAAATAGAAAGTCTGAAAACTGGTATTAGTGTTTCATTTCATCCAATCCCGTAACCCAAGCCCGCATAGTCAGGAACGTGACGAGGCACGTAACACTATATAGATTTTACACAGTATTTTTATGAAGATTTTTTTTATAGAGAAATACTAACCATTTTTTCTTCTTTATTAGATAGGGTTTTGTTTAAGAACTAATTAATTGAATCTGTTTAATAAAATACTTTAATTAAATGGGTATACATTATTTAAAACATTAGATTTGGCGCTTCCATTAAATTTTAATGAAAATGGCAAAAACGTTTTTCTAATAACATATTTTCCATCAGGCACGTACACGTAGGTAAGTTTTAGGCACAAAAAGGCATCTTAGACGTATCTATGTACTTACAAAATACATTGGAAAATTGAATTAAAACGTTAAGAGGTTTATCCCTAAGCATATGGTGCACGATCCATCAAACGGCCCGTGTAATCATATCAAATTGAAAAACAATTACTGGCTCGAAGTAACCTAGCTTATATATTTTCTTTAATATCCAAACTGTTGTTTAAGTAAATAGTATATGTATACGTGTAGGTACTAAAGGACTGATTTAAATATATATATATATATATTTAAATCAAATATATATATATATAATCTATAATATAAATAATATAAATAACCAAATACATAATATATATATATATATATATATATATATATATATAAATTGATTTTGTTGATTGATTTCATCATTATCATCGTCATCATCAGCCTATAAGTGCCCACTGCTGAGCAAAGGCCTCTACTCATACGGAGAAGGTTAGAGCATTGATCACCACGCTTGCTCAATGCGGATTGGCGATTTCAAACTTATAATAAGAAATTATAAGTCTATATAAGTTTCCTCACGATGTTTACCTTCACCGTATGTCAGTGGTGTCTAAATAATCATAGAAAGTACTTATAACTCAGAAAAAGTCACATTGGTACTTGCCAGTTTTCGAACACCCTAATGAATGAGAAGTGGGCTCCTTAACCTCCGGGCCACCACAACATGATTGATTTAAAATATATCAGTCACTGCCTTTACTGGACACTGGACTCCCTAACGATGTAAGTTTAGCTATTTTCTAATTTTCCCGAGACGTTTCTAAAATTATCTTTCTTAACAATTTTTTTCTGGCAATAACAAACACAACAAAAAAGAATTGACAAAATATTGGTATAAGTAGTTAGTAGGCGTTGTTGAGTTATCCGCTTGCCAACAAATTTTGCGATTCTTATAAATTAGTGTCAAATTATTCTGTTTGCAGTTTAGTTTTTACGTGACATTGTTAATTCAGAAATCAATAATGGGATAACAAAGTCTACTGTAGTTGCGTTAGTCTAAATGTACTTTCTACTAATACTATAAATGTGAAAGTTTGTGAGAATGTATGAATGTTTGTTATTATTTCACGCAAAACCTGCTAGATAGGTGATGCCCAGGATTAGCTCATAGCCTGCATTTTATCAACATATTTATTTATGCTTTATTTTGCACAATGAAATGAAGTTGGTACACAAGGCGGACTGCCATATGGCATTCCCTACCAGTCAACTTTTGACATATCACGCAGGCGAAGCTGCTGGTGGTAGGAGGTGGAAACTAGTTTTGTAAAAATCTGAATTGTTAATTGTAAAGTTGTAAACAATGCACTAATTAAGGTAGATGCAAAACAAATCTTTTTATTTACGTCCGTATGGATTGAGGAGCCACTTTCGATTTAAAAAGGAAGCTCGCCCCCTTATTTAGTAGGGAAGTAAATAATTCTGTAGACCGAATTCTGAAATTTGTAGTATAATATGTCTAAAGTTATGTAACTGTGAATGTGGCTCCTCAATCCAAACATCTGAATTGAGGAGCCACCTGAAACACGGAATATATTTCATGTATATTTTTGAAAATTTTGTATCATTTAGTAGCAATTGTGTATAGTGTCTACTAAAAATTTGAGCCCAGTATGGTTTATATTCAAGAATATACAATACTTTTAATGTGGCTCCTCGATCTATACACAAGAGCATGAATTGCCATGAAAGTTATTGGTCAATTTATATTCCACTCTAAAGACATTTAGTAGTAAGTGTGTTCGAATTTGTAGTATATGGACAAAGTAGTAGACTGAGCGAATTTAATAAATAAATGCATTTCATTTGGCTCCTCAATCGTGACGTCTGCATAATAAATAATTAACTGTACCTACCTGAGATCAAAACGGAATAAAATACCAGAGACACTAACATTTAGTATAAACGGTCTACTAAATACATATGCACAGATCAACATTGTATATGTTCGGTATCTGAAAAACAAATCACTTCTGAATATTCCTTACGAATTCGCTATTTAGGGTGACCATGTTATATGAATTAAATTAGGATGATTCATTTTTGAAATTTAATTTTTCGACAATATTCGGTACAAAGATTATTCCTAAGTTAATCCAATTTAATTTATTTATCTCATTTGAGGGTAACTGAAAATTATTGTCGAAAGTATCTACCCTCATATTTATTTAGTAATCTGACATTCATTAACGACGGAGCTCACTTGTTTGCGCACAAGTT